CTATCAAGATTCTTCCAGGAGACCCCGTGACTCCCTGGACCCCTGCCCTAGCCCTCCCTGTGCCAAACCTGACTTCCCCTATCTGACCTGGGGGGCTGGGCATACCTCACCAGCACAGTCCCCTAGCCTGCACTCTCCCAGCTGACCCCCACTGCCCTGCCTTAGGTGTTCCCTCCTCCCAGCACCCCCTTCTTGTCCCGGCTGCTCTCCCACAGGGACGCCCTCACTCCCACACCACCGGCTCCTCTTGCTGTTTCCTGCTCACCAGAATGTGCCCCCAGGGTGGTGGCACTGTCCTCCCTCCTGCTCCTTCTTGGGGATTCTGTTTGCAGGACCATTCTGCACAGCTCCTTGGACACCTGTAGCAGCAAACGGCCAGGCAAACCTGCCCCCCATCTCATATTGGGAGAGACACCAGCATCCAAGGAAACCAGAGATGGATGGAAATTATAGCAGCAAAATCAGATTTTATTCAGGGCAATTTCAATGGGAGAGAAAGAAGTCTTGGTACAGATCCAGGCTCCCCTCCAGACACAGCAGGAGCAAGTGGAAAACGGGATCCATGGCTGGGACGTGGCCAGGAGCAGAGAGGGGCTCTGGCTGGTCCCAGGATTCTTGCTGCAGGCAGGCCAGTGACCAGACATCATCTGGGGGTAGTGGGGTGAGGAACACCCATCAGATAGCGAGGGTGCTGAAGCAGAGCTCTTGCTAAAAGTGGACAGTGCAGAGATAAGCAAAAGTCCAGAAGTCAGGCCATCGGGCTGGTTACAGCCTGAACCTCGCAGGGGGAAGCCGCAGAATGTGGGAGGCTGTCCTCAGCTACTGCCCAAACTCCATGCTGTGGCCTCTGTGGACCCAGGTGGCAGCTTTCAGCTGTCCTAAGCTGGCTGTCCACCCTGCTCCAGCCACCCCACTGCAGCCTGAGCATGGCCCTTTGACAGTCTGCACCTGCCATCTTCACACTCCGTCCCACAGGCAGTGACTAGACGCCTGGCCTCTGCTCCACTCTGGGCAGCCTACAATCCATTTCCTTCAAAGCTTTCCCTGTGGGCTGGATGTGCTTTCTGTGGGCATCAGCAGGGGCTTCTTTGTGGCCAGACTCTGGGGACCTCTTCTCATGCATGTCACCACCATAACAGTCTTAGAGTTTGCAGGGTTTGTCCCCCTGATAGTTTATGGTAGGACAGCTGCATGGACAGTTAATTGTTCACAATAGATTTTCCTCCATGGAACATACAGTTTTAATGCTGATGCTGATACCCTTGATTTTAGCATTGGCATTACCTGGCATGTATAAGGCACTTGATGGATACTTGTCCTGAGTGGATGGACAGGGAAGTGGGTGGATGGACGGGTGGGTGGGGATGGACAGGGAAATGGATGGATGGATGTATAGTGGGGTGGTTGGGAGATGTATGTATGTATGTATGAATGGATAGGTGGTTGGATGGATGGGGGTTGGATGGATGGATGGATGGATGGATGGATGGGGCAATGGATAGGTGGATGTATAGGTGGGTGGATGGGTGGGGGGACAGATGCATGGATGTATGGGGAAATGGATAGATGGATGTATAGGTGGGTGGCTGGGGGATGTATGTATGTATGAATGGATGGATAGATGGATAGGTAGTGGGTTGATGGATGGGGAAATGGATGGATGGATGGATGGATGGGTGGGTGAGTGGATGGATGGGTGAATGGATGGATGGATGGATGGATGGATGGATGGATGGATGGATGGATGGATGGGGAAATGAATAGAAAGATGGATGGGGAAATGGATGGATGGATGGATGGGTAGATGGATGGATGGGTGGAGAAATGAATGGATGGGTGGATAGGAGGGTGAAAGAATAGACTAATGGATGGATAAGTGGATGGACAGCTAGATGAATGGATAGAGAAATGCAATTATCCAGTAACAATGGCACTGCTTTGCAGTTGAACATCCCTAATCCAAAAAATCTGAAATCTAAAATTTAAACTTTAAGTACCTATGTGACCCTCAAAAAATTTGGGACTTTAGATTTTAGGATTTTGGATTTTCAGATTAGGGGTATTCAACTTTTACAAATATCCCCAAATCCAAAAAAAAAAAAAATGCCTAACATCTGCAACACATCTCAGACCCCAAGCATTTTAGATGACTGACATTCAGCCTGCATGACACACCAAATTTAGAAGAAAAATATCTTACCTATCTTTGACATTGCTAGAAAAACACAACACTAAGTTTCTCAATAGACAGGAAGGACAGAAGAACATCTCCATTTCCCAAGTGTGGCCACCACCTTCTGCTGAACACAGGGCCTCAGAGGAGAGGCTTATCTTTTCAGGATCCCTAGTCAGGGGGGCAAACAACGCCAAAGCGAACACCTCCAACACCTCGAACACCTCTGCAGGAAGGGGGCTGAGCAGGGGTGGGGTGCACTCATGCCAGGGTGGAAACAGCCACCTTGGGAGGAATATCATTTAGGACACAGAATCAGATGTTTCCAACTTATTTCAAACGGCCTGGAAAACAACACAAAGATGCGTACGTTTTGAGAGGGAGGGAGATAGGCTCTGGCCCCTGCCTTGAGACGCTGGATCCCTGGAACCCTTGGACCTTCGCTGTGGGCATTCTTACCATGGCTACCTGGCCGGCACCAGGGCCAGCGTCAGAGCTCACTGCAGGCTGGGTGGCATCCAACCTGCCCACAGACATTGGCTGGGGAAGACAAGGGAGATCCTCTAGGGGAGGGAGGTCACAGGGTAAAATCCACACGGAGGCCCTGCTCCACAGAGCTCTCACCCTACCCAGCCCCGGACCCCCCCAGGGCTTGGCAGGGCTGGCCCACCTGCCCCATGTCCTGAGCCCCTTCACTCAGGCCCTTCTTGACTATAGGGCACCTCCCCCAGGAGCTGCCCTGGCCCCTCACTGCCAAGGGCAGGTGCCTCTCCAGCCTCCCTCCTCAGTCCCCTCCCCCCTCTTCTTCCTGCTCTCCTTCCCCTCTGTCCTCCTCCTCCCTTCTCTCCCTTCTCCCTCCTCTGCCTTCCTCTTTCCCTCTTTCTGTCCCTCTCCCCTTTCCCCCTCCCACCTCGCCCCCCACCTCCTCCCTTCCCCCTCTCTTCCCGCCTAATTCCCCTCCCTTTCTTTCTTGGATCCCCCACCCTCTCTCCTCTTTCCTCCTCCCGGCTTCTTGGGTACCCCACTTCCCCATTCCTTCCTCCTCCTCCCTCCCCTTTCTCTCCCCTCCCTTCTAGGACCCCTTCCCTCCCTAGCTCTGGGAGGTCAGGCCACCGGTTGCCTGCTCACAACCACAGCCGTTTCCATGGACTTAGGCCCAACACAAACAGCCCAGGACCCCCCACCTCAGCCTGGCCTTGGGAGAGGGGCTGGGTGGGCAGATGAGGTCATTGCCACAGGCCCCCCACCAGGCCCAGGGGGGAGTGTTTGTTGGGTCTTGTTTCCTTGGCAACGTGCTGGCTCCTCCTCCTCTCCCATCCACAGGCATCCAGCAAAGCTGCCAGTCAGGCTACCACCCTCCCAGCCCCCACACTGGCCAGGACAGAGACCCCAGCCCAGAGCTCTGGGCTACCAGGAAGGGGCTGTGACCCTCAGTCCCACCTCTAGGATGGCAGCTCCAGGTGTCCTGTGCTCCAGAACTGCCTGGAAGCTTCTCCTCTGCCCTAATAGGTGGGGAGCACCTGGCAGCCTACAGGGTGTCTCTACCCACCTGGCAGAAGCGGTTGGTCAGGAGAGGTTTCCTTGCTGCCTCAGGCTACGGACCTGTTGGAGCTCAGAGCTGAAGAGGCCAGAGAGAGGGGCAGGGGGTTCTGGAGGCAGGCCCCCCCCATACTGCACAGGGCAAGGCGGCAAGCTACAGCCTAGCACTAGTCCCCCACAGCACTCACACATGCATATGAATGCAGAAAAACGTGAACAACACACATGCACACACACAGCATGCAGGCTGTGGAGCCAGCCATGAGCGAGCACACAGACATGTGGGCCATGTATGTGTGCACACACACACTTGGTACATGTGAACAAACATGGTCCCAGCCACAGACATGCATGTATAACAGATGCATGGACCTAGCCCCTCTGAACACACACGTACACACATGTGGACACGCAGACGCAACTGCACACAGCCACAACACCACCTGTATGCACGCTTGCAGGTACAGACCTTGAACACTGGATGATCCACCCCACACGGGAACCCTAGCTGCACAGCTGAGACCCAGAACCCACCGGAGAAGACCAGTCAGGGTTCCTCAGTGGGGCAGGCCATGGGAAACTGACCCGGCCAGATTCTCACCCAGGCTGGACAGTTCTGCCTCCAACATTCAAGAACAGGCCCACTCAGGCCTGGCCTGCTGGGCAGAGGCCTGGGAGCTAAAGGTATTCTGTGGAGATCCTGAGAGGGGGACTTCAGCCCAGTAAAGGCCAGAGGCTGGAGGCGAGGACTCAGCATTGGGGGCCATCCTCCCTTTCCAGGAGAGTCCCAGGGTCAGGAAAGAGAATTTGGAATTCAAATTAGGCAGATTTGAATTTCTCCATGGAGGCCTCGATGCTCCCCGAGGCCCAGGGAACCGGTGGAGGGCTGAGAGGGCAGCGACTCAGGGGAGTCAGGGCACGAGCAGGAGCCATCAGGGGTTCCAGCAGGATGTATCAGGGGGTGGGGACCAGGTGGACTTGAGTAGGAGGGCTTGGCCTGTTAGGGGCCGTCCCCTGGACAGCCTGGGAGGGAGGAAGGGAACTGGGTGAGTAAGCCCCTGCCCAGAGGACACAGGAGATAGAGAGACCAGTGGGGCCTGGGCAGCCACATGGCATGGGGACACAGGCCCACCACGAGCATTGGGCCCACATCTTCTTCCTCCCGTCCTCCCTCTGCCTGCCCCGGCTTCCTCTCCAGTCCTCCTCACATTCCCCACTCCCCTGCAGCCGCCTCCTTTGCCTGCCCCGACCCCCAGGGCCCCTGTGAAGGTGGCAGACTCAAGTGGGCATAACTTAAAATACATTTATTTAGTACTCCATTTGTTTCTGGTTCTGTTATACAAAGCTATTAAATAAATACATTCTCCACAGTCACTCGGGTTCACACCCACGGGCTACAGATGAGGTAGAGAAATCAACAGGCTCGCGGGAGCCTCAGCACAGGGACGCCCCTCCCTCCTGGGCCACCCATCCAGCCAGAGGCAGGCCTCAGGTCAGGCCCCCGCTGGGCTGGTGGGAGCAGGTGGATGGGGCAGAGGGAGACCACTGGCTCCGTGCCCCACAGAACAGCTCCTTCCACGCTGTCCCACAAGGTCAGAGGCCAAGGCCGGCACGGTGGCCTCCTCACTGAGCAGGACGCTCTGTGTGTCTTTAGAGAGAAACAAAACCACCAAGAGACCTCTGCAGGCCGCCTCGGGTGAAGAGCCTGTTCTGAATGTTGAGGGCAGAGCTCAACTGGTGTTGGGTAAGAAGACCCTGGCCCTTGGGTGTCCTTCCACGAATCACATGACTGAGCTCCAGTCTCAGGGGCAGAGTGGCCAGGCCTGCTGCTTGGGACCCTGACAGGTGTGGACACCTGGGAGGATAGGCCCCCCGGGCCCGCCAGCCACTCTGCCCCTCTGGTCACCTCGATGCAGCCCTCACACAGCCCACCCACACTCACTTGCTGGGACGGGGCCTTGACCAAGGGCTGCCATCTGAACCCAGGAGAATAAACGGTACTGACACCATTCAGAAGGACCAGAGACCTGCAGCCATATAAACAGGCTTCCTTTCAAAAACAGTTTCCCCTTTGCTTCCTGGACACTGGGCTCTGAGGAGCCCACTCCTTGCTCAGTAGTTCCACACCTGCCTCCTCCCAGACCCCATCCCACATGAGGCCACCCACCCAAAAAAGCTGCAGGCCAGACCTCTGCGAGCCAAAGGGCCACTATGTGGTACACCAAGGAGGTGGACAACCCAAGTGACCGCTGACCACACCAGCACAGTACGCACACACGACCTACACTCACGCAACACACACACCCCCCACACACATGCTCAAACCAAACTAGGTCAGTGTCGGTCACCCCTCCCCCTGAAAAAACAACAGCATGGCCCCAAAGAAGGGTGTGCCACTGTCAGAGGCCAGCCAGAGACTCTCTAAGTGCGTCTATCCCTACCTGTCCCCGCCCCTGTGACACACGAGCAAGTGTGGTCTCTCCATGGCATGAACCTTCAAAGGATGGCCTTGCCTCTTTCACCAAGCCCACCCCTCTGCCACCCCAAGGCCCAGAATCTGCAAGAGACCCTGGTGTTGACTTTCTGCCCATAAGGTACAGAGCACAGCCACCAAGTGGCACTGTCCCCTTGGCATGGGGTGGGGGGCCGGCTTCCAAGAAGCTCTGCAGGCCACTTGCTTCATTTATCAATATCATCTCAATTTAGTGGTTTCAAACGACAGGGCAAACAGGTCGGGAGGAAGACTGGAGCACAGGGACAGAGGAGCCCTCCCTGCCCAGCTCAGGGCAAGACAGAGTCAGCCCAAGAGGCAAAGGGGATGGAGAAAATAATAATTATTATATTAGTTAAATAATAATAATAATAATAATAATATAATATAATAACTTAAAGTTACTGATACTCCAAAGAGAAGTGCTCGATGTCAGAGAGGGAAGGCAGAGTCCTCCCCACCCGGGCGCCTGGGCAGCAGGGCCCTGGAGATGGAGGGCTGTGCACTCTCCTAGTGGTTTGGCTCTCTGAAGACAGTGCTGGTGCTGGGTGCCGGGCCAGGCCCGTGCCCCATGGCGGCCTTGTGGTCACAAAGGTGCACCTGCCCTCCAAGCCTCAGAGGGAGCCCGGAGGCGGGGAGGGGCAGCCAACAGACTGGGGCCCAGATTAGGGACTGGTGTCAGGGATGGAGACAGCTGAGAAAGCATTGCTGCAACGCTCTCGGGTCATGGGAGAAAGCTCAGGCCTTGGGCAGGAGCACAGGGGTTGGGGAGGCCAGACAGAAGCTGGCCTCCACAGCTGACCCAGACACCAACCCTGGGGCCCTGGGCTCAGCCCTTGCAGCTGGAGCTGCCTCCTGCTGCACAATGCCTGCCACAGCAGGGGTTCAGTCCTTGCAGGTGTGAACCCTGCACTCCATGCATTTCCTACATCCCAGGCAGGGCTGGAGGGCCTGGGCTCAGCCCCTGTAGGTGTAGACCTCCTCTCACTGTGTGCATTGCCTACACCCCACACGGCAGGGCTGGAGGGCCTGGGCTCAGCCCCTGCGGGTGTAGACCTCCTCTCACTGTGTGCACACGGCAGGGCTAGAGGGCCTGGGCTCAGCCCCTGTGGGTGTAGACCTCCTCTCACTGTGTGCACACTGCAGGGCTGGAGGGCCTGGGCTCAGCCCTTGCAGGTGTAGACCTCTTCGCGCTGTGTGCACTGCCGGCACTCTACATAGCAGCACCAGCGTACCTGGCACTGGCAGGGCCTTGTCACCACCCGGCTCTGCGTGTTGTGGCCACGGCCACAGCAGATACTCTCACAGTTCTTCTCACGGTGGCACCTGCGGCCAGCTGTGCCTGGGGAGAAGCGGCCGGCCAGGCAGAAACTGGGTGAGTCGTCCAGGTGCACGAGCTCGGGTGTGCGGGGCAGTGGGTCAGCATTGCCCACCCCTGAGGCCCGGCCCCGTGGTGGGGAGATGGCACCTGCCTCACCCGTGGCCTCGTTGGTGGTGCTGCCCACCTTGAGCGCCGTCTCGTACTTGTGCTTTAGGTGCTTGCCCACCTCATGGAAGGGCGCCAGCTGCCGCCAGCAAGTCCGAACGGTGCAGGAGCCCGACACGCCATGGCACTTGCACGTGGTCTCCACCCCGGCCTTGATCACCTGCAGAAGGCGTGGACATGAGAGCACCTGCCAGGTAGTCCAACCACCCACCCAGGGCTGGACAGACCCAGACCTGGCCAGCAGGGGTCATCACCATCTCTCTGACATGGAGGCTCCACTCCCTAGTCCCTGTGCAGGTCCCTCTCTCTCCAAGCCAGGGACTACCCAGGACAGAGGTCCTATGGCTGCACCTTAGCTTCCAGGACACCTCCCCAAACCTCTGTGAGCAGATACCCCCCACCATGCTGAGACACCCCTTCCTGCCTGGATGTCCAGCCCTCTTCCCCTTCAACAACCCTAGCCCCACTGAAGTCTGCTATGTCACTCACTGGACAAGCTGGACAACCGTGCCCTGACCCAGGGTCTGCACCTGGGCTGACCGGTCCCTACCTAAGTACTGGGGACCCACAGGCACAGCCCTGAGCCCCAGCTGCTGTTGTAGGTCAGTTGCTGCAGAAGGGCAGAAGCCCACTCCTGACAGCGAGAGAATTCTACTGCTGGAAGAGCTTCCTGAGTGGGGTGCTCCTCTGCCTCTCCAGGAGCAGCCCCAGCTGAGCACCCATAGTCCACACTGGAAGGAGGCTGGGGTCCCAAGAGGGGCTGGCTTTCCTTGGGATCTCCAGTCTGGGATCTCTTCCCTGGGGCAGAAGCAAGTGGGGAGGCAACTAGCCCTTTCCCAGGTGGGCCCTGAGCCAGACCACGAGTTCCCACCATGGCCCCAGGAGGGTAGGCTGGGTGGAGGGTTAAGAAATGCAGCCACCCACCCCCTCCTGCAGCCACGGAGACTCCACTTAGTGATGCTATGCTGAGAAACCTAGACGGGTTTAATTAAAATGTGGCTGCCCCTGGTCCAGGGCTTTTCACATTCTGACTTTTCATTAATAGCTCACAAAAGGGCGACTGGGGAAGGAGGGGTCAACACAAAGGAAAACCAGGGCCTAGTCTGGGGGATTTAATCTGCCCTCCAGTTTCACCCGCCTGCCAGCCGGCTCAGGAAGGCAGGAGGCAGCAGAGCACTGATGGACAGGGAGACTGAGTGCTTAACAAGTGAGTGGCCAGAACTCTGCCTTCTCATAAAGAGCGGCTCCTGAGGAGGCGTGCTGCCCCTGCCCTCCTGAGGCCCAGGCTGGGCCTGGAATCAGCCTTTGGTGGTCAGGGCTGGTTGGAGACTGGGGTCAGGTGTCTTAGAGTTAGGGATCTGCCCCTCCCTTGCAGGAGCCAGCATCTGGAGCTCTGGTGACTCGAGGAGGGAAGGACAGCCAGAGCCAGGTTCACCCAGGCTGCAGCCCAAGGCCTCCCAAAGGGCCCACTGGAGAGCTTGGAAATTTCTCTTTCTGAAACTTGAGTCTTTTTAGTTGGGTCTCTTGTAGCTAGCTCTGCTCGGAGTCTGGCTATAGAGGGGCCAGCAGAAGAGGTGTGGACAGCCCTGAGTTGGGTGAGTGGGTTCTGCATTCCCAGACTCTTCCCAGGAAGACACATTCCCTCTATGGCTGCTCTCAACAGTCTTGGTGACAAGCCTGAGGGCTACCCTGGCAGGAGGGGCACATCCCACCGACCCCTGGTTAGACGACAACCCAGGAACCCTTCTGGGCTCTAGACCAGCAGTGGCAGGCCAGAGGGGCCCATCCAGCTGTCCCTCCCAGACTATCATGGGGCTTCCAGCTCCTCTTCTCCACAGGGGATGCAGGGGATGTCTCACTGGGGCACGAAGGTCCTGTGGTTAACAAGCTCTATGGGAAGTAGCCTCCGTCCAGCAAGCCCCTCCCTTCCTATGTCCACTCATCCACATTCAACCCCAGGCCTGCGCCCAGCCCTTCCCCTCACTCTGGGCCCCGCCCACTGCATGCCCAGCTCCACCTACCCTGCGCCTTGCCTCTCCACAGATCCTGTACCCAACCCACCATGTCTTGCCACACCTACTCACTCTGTACCCCGCCCACCTGCCCCTGTCCCTTCAGGGGCCTTCAACAGACCCTCCCTGCGCCCTGCCCCGCTCTGCTTGCCTTCACACCCACGAGGTTGTTGTGGAAGTCCACGCGGGCTCGCAGGTCCTTGCTTGACCGCCTGCCTAGGAACTCCTTAACAAACTTGCTGCTGTACTTGAGGTTGTCCCCGCAGCCGCCCCACTGCCAGGCCTCTCTGTTCTCCAGGTCCGGTGCCTCGTCACACGTGCAGCGCTCCATGCGCCCGGCGCTGCACGCCTTGGCCAGGGCGTGTGTCAGGCCGGCGGAGGAGATAGCATAGAGGAAGGCGGTCTCCTTGAAGCCTGGGGTCAGCAGGGGCAGGTCAGTGAGGCCAGGTAGCCAGGTAGGCCCCAGGACCCTGCAGCCCACCTGGAGGTTCCCATTTCACACGTGTTGCAGCCAAACCACAGCTGGGGGTTCTAAACCATCCCCTCAGGTGGGCAGGTATGTGGTGCTGCCTGCCTGGGGTGCAGGGCACGTCCAGGGTGTTGGAACTCAGGGCGTGGCCCTGCCCTGGCCTCAAGACCCCTATGCTTGGTTTCCTTTGGTTTTGTTTTGGCTGTGCTCAGGATGGAATCCAGGGCCTTCTCTGTGGAGGACCTCCCTAAGCATCTACCGCTGATCATCCACCCAGCACCCCAGCCCTCAGCTGGGGCAAGGCTGTGGAGGGCCCCCGACCTCTGTGCCCCAGGTACAGGAAGGAGGAGAGGAGGGCTTCTCCTTGGGTGGAGGTGTCTGGGCACTCAGATACCTGGCATGAGTCAAGCACTCACAGATAGCCCCAGGACCTGTCAAAGACTGAGCAAAGACGTCCTATGCCACCAGGCCCTCCATGAGTGTGTGTGATGGAGGGGATGGGTGGAGGGAGGTGAGGGGATGGGTGGAGGGAGGTGAGGGGATGGGTGGAGGGAGGTGAGGGGATGGATGGAGGGAGGTGAGGGGCTGCCCTGTCCAGGCCCCAGCCACTGCCAGAAGCCAGGCTTCAGGTCACCTGGGACCCAGAGGAAGAGAGCATGCAGGAGGGATATGCCCACAGCCCTGCAGTCCTACCTTTGCCACCTGGGATCTTTGGCCAGATCTGGGCAGGGCCTGGGCACTCACCTCTCTTGAGCAGGCTGGCACGGTAGCGGCCCTCCAGGGTGCAGTTCCAGCGCTCAAAGCGGAACTGGTACTGGCACTCGAGCGCACTCATGCTCACTGCCTCCACCAGCGTCTCTGCCACACCTGGGTCCCGCCGGCACATGCGCCTTTGCTTGCGCTCTAATTTCAGCCGATCACAGGCCTTATAGTGAGCCTGGGCAGCCGCCTCAGGCTCCAGGGTCAGTGGGAGGATGGTCAGGGGCTCACTGCCAGTCAGCCTGGGGATGGAGAGGCAAGAGTGAGCCCCAGCTCCAGCCAGGACCACGGGAGCTGGGGACAGAAGAACCATCCCACAGAGCCAAGCAGGAGGAGCCCAGTCATTTCAGGGAGTCCAGTCCACACCAGCCACACTGCCCAGACCCATGGAGCCCCTTCCTCGACACACACCACCCCCACGAGCATAGCCAGGCTCAAGCTGCAGCAGGGGAAAGGGCCAAATCCAGGACTACAGCTCCCTGGTGTCTCTACCACACTCTGCTCCCCTCCCCAGCTTAGATGCCACCAGCTGGGGGTGTCCCATGGGTCTGTGGCTTCAGGGGCAGGCCTTGGCTTGTTCCTCCCTGCCTGCCTGTGCAGCCTGGTGACCGGGCAGGGTCTTTCAGTCTTAGAAGGGTAGGACTGTCCACCAGAGTGAAAGGACAGTTCCCAGTGAAAACACCCCAGGGCCCAGCTCTTCACAGGTGACCGAAGAGCTCATCCCCCAGCCTAATGGCTGACCAAGGAGGGGCTTGCCCTCCTCTCCTTGCCTTCCAGTCATGTACCCTCCTGCCCCAGGCTCCTGCACCTCCTTCCTCTGAATTCAAGCCTGCTAGACCCCCATGTCCCCACAGCAGATGGCAACCCATGGACACTCCAGCAGGCCCTGTCCAGTACATATCTGTGCAGGCATAGGCTGTGCACACTGAGCGAGACTCCCAGCCTCAGTGCCTCAGCCCTGACCCGGCAGCTCTGCACCCTGTTCCATCCCAGGACTGACACCTGAGTCCTGCCACCTCTGTGTGTCACCCACAGGCCTCAGCACCCCATGTGGGCAGACTGCACATGGAGCCCGCAGGCACACGCACTTCCCGCCATGCCCAGGCCTTCATCCTTGGACGAGGAGGCATCTGTCTGCACGTGGGCAGGACTAAGTTCCCTGCCTCAAACACCACAGGAGATAGTCCCCTTTGCCCCTCAGCAGGGGCAATGCTGTTGTGCCCAGGCTCCTCTGGGAATGATTGGGGATAGCGGCTTTGGAACACTGCCCCCACCCGAATCCCTCGCAGGGGGCTGTGGGCTCACCTGCCTAAGGGTGGTCTACACGAGGGCTAGAGTGGGAGCAGGGCCAAGAGGTCGCAGAGGGGATGTGTCAGCCCCACAGCAGAGGTAGGGCCCTGGGAGCATGGAGTAGGGTGGGGCCTCCAGGAGAGCAGAGGGGTGCAGGAGGGCACAGCGGGGCAGAGGCAGGGTCTCCTGGAAGCTCCCAGGTTGGAGAGAGGCTCTGAGTTGGGAGGAAGCTGACTGGAGGGCCAGGGCTAGAGCCCCACCGAGGGCTGGGCTTCACCTCCAAAGCTCCATCTGAGCAGAGGCCCTCAGGGAGGACCAAAGGCCACCGGTGGACTCCAGCCTTGCCAGGTGGCTGAGCTCAATGATGGCTCCAGACCAGGCCCCAGGAGAGCTGCCCACCGGGGGCAGGGGTGGAGGCAGGCTGGGGCAGAGCCTGGTGGCTGCCCACCAGAGAAAACCAAGGCAGGCAGAGCCACACCCCAAACTCAAAGGCAGCTCTCACCGAAGACCTCTGTCCCCAGATAAGAATGTCACAGCCGGGTTCAGGACAGAAGCACCAGAAAGGCCTCAGTGTCCACTCCATGTGCCACGGCCTGGACTTGCCAAGACGCTCCCATGTCCAGGGAAGCTCTGTGGCCCAGACCCTCATGGGGGTCTCATGGGGGCACAAAGTGCACGTGGAGTTGTGGAAGGGGGCACAAGGGGCAGGCAGAGGAGGATCAAGGGAGACAAAGAGGAAGTGGGGACAGGGGAGGGACTTGCAGGCCAAGGACACTTCCTGACACACAGCCAGTTGGGGGTGTTAAGACAATGACACTCCACATGTGTCTGTGCCTGGGGGACACTCCCTCCACTCCAGTAGGCCAGCCTGTTCCACTATAAGTAAGGACCCGGGAGGTCGGGTCTCCACCTGGCCAGCCTGTGCTCCCCACCCTCTGCCCATGGCTGACCCTGCCTTAGCTCTATGCATAGCCTCAGGGACAACTGTCCTAGAGGCTCCTGTCCCAAGCCAGTGCCATGTGAGGACCAAGGAGGGTACACAGGGGAGAGGACTGGGGCTGTGGCACACGACGGGGAGGCCCAGGGTGAGGAGGTGGCATGCTGTCTACTAGGTCAGGGCTCCCACCACACCAACCTCAAAGCCAAGAATGACCCTTGGAAGCCCTGGGGGAAGATGAGGAGGTCACACAATAACCTAGAATAGGAGCACTGTCTCTGTGACTCTGAACCCAGAGGGCGTTACAGAAGCAATGATTAAGGTATTTCTAAAAATCTCTGTAGAGGGAGCAAAAGAAGAGACTTAAAGACCAGCAGACAAGTGACATATGGGGAAAATATCAGTGTGCAACTTACATCCCTGAGCGAGAACTAACTGTGCATGTGTGCCATGCGTGGGTGTGTGTCTGTGGACATCTGTTTTCTATAAATGAACCCCAGGAGTCCATCGAAGTGGACAGGGTGGACAGGAATAAGAACCTTGTGTGCCATTGCACAGTAGTGGGACCACAGGTGGAGATCACGCAGCGTGCCTGACGCTAGGAGAGGACCTCAGACCTTCCCACCATGAACAACTGATAAGTGTCGGAGGAGATAAGATAGCTTCACCTGATTTACACAACATGCAGTCTACACATCAGAACACCAATGCACACGTGTACGTTTTACGTATCAGTTTAAAAAACAAAAATAAAGACAAACAATAACGGAAATGGACAAAGGACAAACATGCAGTTCAGAGGAAGGAAACAGCCAGCTGTTGGGACGTGGGACACTCCACCACCAAACAGCACTGTTCTTTCTCTATCAGAGGAACACGCATCAAACCTGGGAGCAGATAGTGCGCCAGGACAGGGAAAGACAGGCTCTCCCTGGCGAGAACTCCAGAACAGTGTGCCTATAAAATTCCACGATTCATCCACTGACGGGGTCTGAATGTTCGTCCTCACCCCAGGCCACAGTGTCAGGAGGTGGGGCCTTTGGGACATGACGAGGTCACAACGTGGGAGCCTCGTGATGGGATCAGTGTCCTGACTAAAGGACCCCAGGGAGCCTCTGCCCCTCCACCATGTGAAGACGTGGCAAGATGGGCAGCCAGATGCTCCACACCGTGCCCTGGGGCTCCAGGAGTGGGAGCAGTGCCACAGAACAGGCTTCACACTGGAGGGCTCTGCCTGACAAAGGCCACCTGAGGTGCCCTGGGTGCCTTCGAGCTGGGCTGGCTGAGCTCCGAGGTGCCAGAGGGAGAGTGAGCTCAAAGCAGCTCTGGTCATGATATCTCGTGGGCCAACGGGCAGGTGGCCTGATGATGGGCCGAGGACACCGGGTCCTGCGGACCACGCTCACAACGCAGGATGGCTGAGTGGAGGGAGCAGGAGTGTGGCCGGTATGTCAGACCCACGTGGCCATGGGTGTTGAGTTGCCATTAAAGCAGCGGCAGCCACGGTGCACCCCCGACCCAGCCCCAGCCCCACTCAGCAGACAAGGGGCACTGAGAGGTGTGCAGGACTCCCAGAACAGGACTGAAGCCATCTGCAGATGCACAGGACAGGGAAAGGCCCACAACAGGTGACCTGGGGCAAGGGAAGCCTGTCCTCTCCATGTGGCTGCCCACCCTGCATACCAGCCTGGGTGGCTGGCTCTGCCCACGGGGCTGCCACCTCGAGGCTTCTGCCTTGCAAAGTCCCAGGCAGGCTGGCACGCACCACACAGGTCCCTGCCAACAGAACCAGCTGCCCACCTCACATGGACCACCTGCTGCCAGGCTTAACGCAGCTGCCACCCAGTCCCCAGCAGGCAACCTACCGAGAGGAGGCAGACAGGCCGGCTGCAGAACCCAGCACAGCCACTTCCTGGCAGGGACAGCAGTTCCTCTGGGGCACAGGCCCTTTTGCCCACCCTGTGCCATCTTCTGCTCAGAGCTGGCAGCTCGATGGCACAATGGGTTCCACCTTGTTTAGATGTTCTTATTTCCAATTTTGGAAGACTCATGTCACGACATACACAAAAATCCACTTGGAGTAGGTCAGTGAGTTGAGACCTACGCCTGAAACCATGAAACCACCGGTGAAAACAGGAAATGCACACGACGTTGGTCTTGGCGAGATTTCTTGGGCGTGACCCAAAAGTACAAGCAACATCAACAAAGAGAGCACATGGGGTGGCATGGAGCTGAAGAGCTGCACAGCAAAGGAGCCGGCCAACAGGAGAAGAGGCCACAGGATGGAGAGTGGGAGAGGGCACCCGCAAACCACATGCACACAGCCTGGAGACAGGTCTCTCCAGGTTTCTGAGGTTGGCCTCAAATTTGTGGTCCTCCTGCCTCAACCTCCCAAATAGCCGGGACTATAGGCATGTGCCATCATACCTGGCTCAGAATCATACCTCTGATAAGAGGTTAGTATTCAAAACATACAAGGAACTCAACTCAGTAGCAAGAAATAAACCATTTAATAAATGAGCAAGAGATATAAACAGACATGTCTCAAATGAGGATGAAGAAATAGCTAACAGGTACATGAAAGAAGGCTAATCATCAGGGAAATGTCCATCAGAATCACAAGGAGATACCTGCTCACTCCAGGAAGAATGGCTACTGTCACAAATAGCAAGGACAGCAGGTAGGGGCAGAGGAGAGGGACATGTGCGCCACTGTGGAGGAGAGTGTGGAAACTGCCCGTCCAATCATGTGCAACACATGGGGCACCTGTGGAGGACGTGGGTCAGGGTGTCCAAGAGGCACCAGAACTGCCCCTCACCACAGCCCCCTGCCCAGCAGCCAAGACACAAGAACAGCCTGTCCACCCACTGATAGCACCCACTGAGGCCCCGTTGACAGTGCATGCTACAGAGTTCAAGAGGCCGCACACTCAAGCAGGGGATTGTCAGGTCCAGGGAGTGAATCAGGCTCTGAGAGACGAGGGCCACACGAGCTTCCTCACACTCTGCAGCTGAGAAAGCCAAACGCTGCAGCAGTCGATGCTCGTCACCAGGGCCAGAGGGTTGGTCAAGGCACACGGTTTCTGCTAAGCAGAAGAATAGGCTCAGGATGTCAGTCACACAGCATGGTGACTACTGCGTTACTGAAAGATGCAGAGAAGCAACGCTTCCTTGCTGCAGGCACGCAGCCCCGTGAGGCTGTGCAGGCGAGAACTCGCCCCAGCAGCCCTTCCACAGTGGACCATGCAGTGCCCGACAGACACAGGCGATGGGACCTGTCATTTCAAAGTAGAAATGTAGAAAACGCTTTTTTAAAATGAGCCCACCTGCTCTCAGATCACGAAGGACCTTCCAAAAGCCCTCTGCCTGCTGACCTCAGGCAGCTCCCAGCGAGCCATACCAGCCGGAGCACACCATCACTGGGAGGCCCAATGTCCCTAGGGAACACGACCATCACAGCATGACGTTCGAGAAGCCGGCCTCATGCCTGCAACGCCACAGCCATTCCCGCCTTCCCATAGCCCAGTTCTTGCTAGGACTTCCTCAGGAGCTCCCTAGGCAGGCCAGGGACATCCGTGGCAAGCCGGCTGACCGCCACACTGGGCTCCAGGGTCTGCGGGCATGGACTCGGGGTCCCTTCCTGTCCACTCCATGGACTCGCAGGGGGGTCCCTTCCTGTCTACTCTGAAGACTTCTGTCCTGGACTCCAACCTGTCTTTACAAGGTTCACTGGGCCCACTGCTGACACACAAATGATGAGTGGGCTCCTGTGCTGACCAGGCTCTGCTGCCTCCACATGCCCTCACCACCACTGGAGGTCTTCCATGTTCTCTGCACACGACCACACATGTTCAGAGATGGGCTTGGCTTCTTTATAAGGTTCATAGGTGGACGACTGCATACGTGACTGTATGTCAGTGCACACACAAGTGCACAACATGGTATTTTGAAACAAGTCTGCTGCACGGTGATCCGGTTGAGCTGGGCAGCCCATCCGCCACACCGCTAGCTTGCTTTTTGTGTGGTGGAACACTCCCTACACCTAACTGGCATTTCCGCCCAGCCCTGGTGCCCACCACTCCATGTGCGGCTCTGTGGGCTTCCTGGAGAGGCTCTAATGGGTATAAGCCGGTCACTTATTTATGAAGGGTGAGCACAGCCACCCCCATCTTACACTTGAACTTCTGTGGGATGCCTCTTGGTCACCCAGGATCATGCTGCTGTTCCCTGTGGTTCTTAGCAAAGAACCTTTCAAAATCCTTAGTGGGCTGGGTGTGCTTGTGCACACCTGAAATCCTAGTGACTTGGAAGGCTGAGGCAGGAGGATTGCAAGTTTGAGGCCAGTCAGCAATTTAGTGATGCCAAAAGTAGCTCGGTGAGACCCTGTCTCAAAAAATAAAAGGGCTGGGTACACAGCTCAGTGGCAAAACACCTCTAGGTTCAATCCCCAGTGTAACAAAAAAAATCCTTAGCTGTAGCACTGTCACACAGAGCTCTGCATGTCTGTAGTGACCTGGAGAGACCAACCTACCTAGTCAGAGAGTTCCATCCTGCTGGTACCCTGACGGACGGTCTCCAACAGCACCTGACGGAGGTTGCTTGCCAGTGTAGGCCCTTTTCTTTGCCTTTGCTCTTCCTGTCAAGTTCTGGTGCCTGGCGGGTGCTCTGAGTCTCCTGAAGGTCTGGGCTAGGACAATCACGTCCTCTTTGCTATCTGGAAGAACTTGCCATAAAGCCACCTACACCTGAGCTTCTCTTGGTGGAATAATTTCCATTCCAACCCCCTTTCTCCCTTCACTCTGAATGGTTGTGATTTAAGGCAACAGACCATGTGTACACAGCTGTGTATTCACAGTATGTGGGACCATCATAGCCAACTTGGAACCCTCTCATCACCTCAAAAAGAATCCATCTGCACTCATGTCACGAGGCAGCCTCCCATCTCAGTGGACGCACCTGCTCTGGACAGTCTGAGGAGGTTGGAAGCAGCAGTGCCTGTACCCAGTGTGCCTCACTTGCCCCAGGACTGTCCAGGTCGCCTCCATCACAGCACGTGTCAGAACTGCCTTCAAGAGGAAGGCCTCCCAAGAGTGCACGCCACATTCTGCTTCTCTGTCTGTTAGGGATGGATACTTGGGTTGGTCCCACTTTCCAACAACTATGCTTGAAGCCTCTGGGAACGCACATGTTTGAGGAAGTGTCTTCACTTCTCTTGGGTACATCCTTGAGAATGGGCATGCCAGTCAACGCCGAGCTACGCGCTTAGACTTTGGAGAACTGTCAGCGTATCCTCCCAAGTGGCTGCACCACGCTGTCCATCTTTAGGCAGGGGACGTGTGCTCTGGAATCCCCCTTTACTGGATCAGGTGACCTGCCGTTGCTGCTGCTCCAGGTACGTGATGGACACACAGTCTGCACTGTCCTCCACCATGTGCCCTGGGGTCTGCAAGAAGAGCTTCACTGGCTCCCAGGTATCAGCTCCATGCTTTCAAGTCACACTCCTCCTCAAAATGGGCACGGAAGGCACAAACTGTCATTCTTCCAGTGACTCCTGACCTACAGTCTAGTCCCAGCACCAGGGAGGCACACAGGGCCCAGTCACAGACCCGGACAGCACCCAGGGGCCCAGTCACAGACCAGGACAGCACTCAGGTGACCAGTCACAGATTAGGGCAGCACTCAGGGGACCGGTCACAGACCTGGGCAGCACTCAGGTGACCAGTCCCAGACCCGGGCAGCAGACAGGGCCACAGACGCGGGCCCAGACCCCAACACCTTACCTAGTGCATTGCACTCTCAGGTCTGGGGTCCTGGTGTGCTCTCTGGGTCCATCTGGGCTGCTGACCATGCTGCCCTGAACTTTGCCTTCTTTTCTGTCTGCCTGAAGTTTTCCCTTTGTTCATTAGAAGTCTGCTCACCTGCC